AGGGTTTGATCTGTGAGTTAGCCGTGCCCTGGCTTTGATCTGCCCAGAGGTGGTTTTAGGGTTTGATCTGTGAGTTAGCCGTGCCCTGACTTTGATCAGCCCAGAGGTTGTTTCAGGGTTCGATCTGTGTGTTAGCCGTGCCCTGACTTTGATCAGCCCAGAGGTTGTTTCAGGGTTTGATCTGTGTGTTAGCCGTGCCCTGACTTTGATCAGCCCAGAGGCTGTTTCAGGGTTCAATCTGTGAGTTAGCCGTGCCCTGACTTTGATCAGCCCAGAGGTTGTTTCAGGGTTTGATCTGTGAGTTAGCTGTGCCCTGACTTTGATCAGCCCAGAGGTTGTTTCAGGGTTCAATCTGTGAGTTAGCCTTGCCCTGACTTAGATCATAACAGAATTTGTTTCAGGTTTCAATCTGTGAGTTAGCCGTGCCCTGACTTTGATCAGCCCAGAGGTTGTTTCAGGGTTTGATCTGTGAGTTAGCCGTGCCCTGACTTTGATCAGCACAGAGGTGGTTTCAGGGTTTGATCTGTGAGTTAGCCGTGCCCTGACTTTGATCAGCCCAGAGGTTATTTCAGGGTTTGATCTGTGAGTCAGCCATGCCCTGACTTGATCAGCCCAGATGTTGTTTGCAGGGTTTGAATTGATAGGTGAGTTAGCCATGCCTTGACTTAGATCAAACCAGAGGTTGTTCCAGGGTTCGTTATGTGAGAAGCCACGCCCTTACTTAGATCAGAGTAGATTTTGTTTTAGATTTCGATTAAACTGAATCGATTTTTGCTTTAGCCGAAACTGGCTTTGATTTTAATTTTGATCTTCTTAAACCACTTTTTTGAACTGTACGTGCGATTTTAAAATGGCATAAACTGAAATATCTTAGATCTTAAATCGGTTTCTTCAACCCTAATTAAGTGTGGCTCCTAAATTATCTGATACGGATTTATGAGATTGAGTGTCTTAAAACTTAACAATGGACTCATACTTGACCCCATTTATAGACACAATTTATATTATTTAATTAAGCACCAAAAACGATTTTGTTAAGCCAGCTTTCTCAACTAAGAGCTACGCTAAAAGATTAAACGTTCAGCGCTAAAAACGGTCTTAAAACGCCCCTGCTTCAGTTGTGTTTTCAACGTTTGCCATGTAGTCATGAAAGCAGTCAATTAGCAGCCGCTTCCAGTTTCTAGAAGTTGTTTTACTAAGTTTTCCGTTGACAAAAATCTAAACAGCTTAATGAGTAGTCTGTTTTTTTTGTTTTGTATTTTTTTACTCCGGTTATTTTCTTATTTTAAGCCATCAACATTCAATTCTAATTGGTATCCATTCACTAATAAAAGTTGAGCAAAGTACAGTGTTTTTCGAGCGACCTGTTTTAGACTCTAGTAACACATCCTTCAATTTAACACAGAGCATTCTATACTTGCACTTAAACCGTATTTCCTCTGTGTTTATTCGTTTTAAGCGTTAATCTATTTAGTCTTCCGCCTCTTAAGACCGAAGGTTTCTGATTTTGCCCCGGCATGTTTTGAATTATGACTTATATGATTTGAAGACAGATCAAAACATTTCGAAAAATTCAACTGAAATCAGTTTCCAAAACTCTCGACCGATATTTTGTACAAAGCTAAGATTCCTTTAAGAACATCAACTGAAAAAGAACTGAAAGAACTTATATTAATAATCTCAGTTTATTTCGAACACTTAAACATATTTTAACGATGTAATAAGTAAAGAAAAAATGGCAAGAAAAGGACACTTTTGCTTGGCGCTTGTTTTGCTTTGAACACACAGACACTTTCGCTAATCGAAAATGACTATTCATTTCCTTCGATTTGATAACAAATCCAAGTTGAGATTTGAAAGTTACTTTTAATTTCATATTTCATCCATTATAGACACTTTAATAAAAGGTTAAGCTAAATAATTGCCGTTTAAAACGTAAGCGTTTTGATTCAGGCGTAAATACTTCCTTGCAACATCATGTTCTTTGATCGAGTTGTCCAGCTGGCGTCTTCCTATAAAACTATCAGTCTTATAAAAACACAACTTCGTAGCAAATTCCTTAGATTATTTTGTAAAAAAAATTGTTTCAGGAATAAAGAAAAGAAGAAATGAAGTGTTCTTTACTCAAACCTGTGCTAAATCTTTTTTAGCGGTTTTTTTTTTTTTTTTTTTCTTTTCCCCACAATAATAGTTCACGTTCAACTTAAACTAGGTGGCGCCGCACGTACCGATCAATCGTTTCCGATGAGTTTAAAACACAAGCGTTTTTCTGTTTAAAAAAAAGAAAATAAAGGAAATTTCTGGTGCATTTTAAAAAGATCTTTCAAGGCTGTTACCACACTTTGAAAATGAGACTCCAAAATCACTGATTTAACGGCATTTTATTACAAAGGTCGATATGAGTTAAGTACAACTTTTTTTGTGAAATTTTCCGCGCGACATGGGTTTTACAGGAAGCAACGAATAAAAATTTGGCGCTTGGCACGCTGTCAGTTTTGAATAAACTTCCTAAAACGTGAAAAAACCGAAAAAATTAAAAAAACTAAAAAATTTCGAAGTCTTCGTTGAAAAATTAAGGAAACTGAAAAGAGAAACCATGGATGTTAACTCATAGTCTGAGAATGTATACCAAATCCTATTTTTTTCAGTGAAAAGAAATACTTTCGTCAAAATAAAATCCAAATTGGTTAGTTTTTTTTAATCCTACTTCTCACTAAAACACAAAGCCAAAATTCATTTTCCCCATTTTATTTTTATTTTTTTAAGTTTTCATTCCGAAACGACTGACACTAGACCTTTTGGCTATATTTCTCTTCTTTGTTATAATCATTAAATTGTAATTCCAAACAAAGGGAACGATATTTATTTTGTAAGCCTTTTTGTTCGTGTCAGTCCCTTTAATTAAGTTCAGCTATGACCGCTTTTCCTTCAAGCAATGAAATAGTTTATAGTTTTAACCTTTTGCTAGAAATGAGATAATTCTCTTGTCGGCAGAGATAAAATAGATGGGTAAACACTCTTGTTCTCTTTGGAAAATATAACTCCAAAAGCGGAGGGAGTGAGCGTAAGAAACAGGAAAGCTGATGATTAAATTCTCTTCGAAAATCTTCCGAAATGAATAATATGATGGCGTTACTTCAGGACGTACATTAAAAGATTGACTTCAAATGCCTCGGGTCCTTGAGTTTTGTTTACCATAACGTACAGAAATCTAGTAAACATCGATAGGATTTTAAAGCGTTCGTTTATGCTATTCAAGTGAGTTCTGGGCTGCTTTCCTGTTTACTTCCCCCATCATTAGGATACATTAGCATCAAGTCTGTTTGATCATTTTTTTCTGCATTAACGACAATTTGTACCAATATAGTCATCTTCTGTGCTGGTCATGAGTTCTAGGATATTGATTGTTGTTGAATTTTTCTTTCTTTTTTTTTTTTTTCTGTTTTGGTTCACTTTTCGTGACAACTGGAATTTATCTTTGGAATTCAAGGGTGTGAGAGAAACTGTCGCACGATATTTTCGCTATTACCGAGACTCCGCTTTCTTAGGCTCTTATATGAAAGAAAACTCCTATTCAACAACTTGCAGTCACAGAACTGACATATTTGTGCTTCTGATTATTGAAGAATATTTTCGCTGCTTTTTTTTCGAACCTCATTTTAGAATCTTGAAAAATATAGAACTTTAAAATCGGAGAAGCTAGTTTCTTCTGACTTTGACCTGTATGCTTGATTTGCCTTACTGGACTCTTCTAACGTGTTCTTACCGTGTACTTGTGCAACACGTCCTCAACATAAACAATGTGATCTTTCAAGGAAACTTTGGAATCTTCTACGATTTACAATGTTGGATATTCTTTTTACGACATTTCTCCTCAGAAAAAGAGCATCTACTTTTACAAAAGGGTTCTTAGGAAATGCATGGCATCCCATAAATTAAAAAAAAAAAAAAAAAAAAAACCCTAGAAAAGCGTAGGCGGTTTACTTAGTCGGGCTTACATCAATATCCCTTAAACAACACACACTCGCAAAAAGAGATTTCAAAAATTCCAGTTATAGAAAATCACTAATCCATCGACAGAACCACATCCCGCTAAATGATTTGAATGCACTTGTACAAAGTTCATGATCACGTATCCTTTATTTGATTGTCTAGCCAACTGTCAGATAGCAAAAAGGACAGTTTAAGTCTAGTTTTTYCCCGCGAGTAATTGTTCAAGGGTTTTCCACGTTTCGCATTTGACGCAGCCCGGTAGCAGCTGCGCGTCTCGCGCTTCTATTATTAATTTGAAGACGCACGATCCACTGGTCGCTTTATCATGAACCAACAATGCAATAATATGCAAGTTCCGGGGATCAAGAGGTTTTTCTTTCTTTTAATGGCGGTATTGGGCGCTTTTCGACTCAATATCCTACATGGAACTCCTACATTCTGAGGTGCCTGGCTGTACATAATCTCTTTCCCATGTGGCATTTGTTTATGTTTGAAGCAGATTGTTTTCCATTTAGGACAAGGCGTTTCACCCAATTAAGCCCTGAGCAAGTAACAGGACATAAAGGAGTTGAACAAATCATAGTAGTGATATATAAATTCTGATGACGTACCTTTAGCTGACGCACTTCAACGCGCGCTTCTAATAGTATAAAAACCTATCCAATGATAACTTGCTCTCACTGTGCTCTCATTTTTTCTAAGTAGTTTTTCTCTGACACCCTCCTTTGGTCTGAAATCAGATTATCAGATCAGACACTGGAGTTAGTTTGTTAATCACTGAACAATTAGCCGTTGCAGTTTTTCAGCTCTGAATCTCAAGAAAACGGGTAAGCAATATTCCAATTATTCCTGAGCAAAACTGATTTAAGTCGATAAATATCTTCTCAGTCAACTGTTAGTTTTAAATATAGACTCTCGCTAGCTTAGTTTTATTTCACATTATACTTTTTGGTGTAATTTTAAACGTCAATAGAAAAACAAGGGTTGAAAATTTTGATCAAATCTTGCTAATTTGTCAGGACGCCACAGCAATTTCTACGCCATATATTTCTAGGATCTTTCTCCACAATAACTTTAAAGTTTTTTTCTGTTTCTTCTCTCCATTTTATTATGAAACTCATTTCTAGCTTTGAGTCCACTTTCACCGAAGTAGTTGACGTACGATTGAATTTTATCTTCAGTTTGTATTCTTTCGTTTTAAGTCTTTCTTATGCTCTCTACCGAAAAGGGAAAAAAAGAAAAAAAAAAAGTGTTTTCAGTATTTAGTTTGCCGATATTTATATATTCATTCGTTTTGCGAAAAGCTGTTTCCCATTCACAAGAAAAATGAAATGAAAAAGTAGGACTATCGGAAATTATTGGGCTATAGAACTGAAACCGCCCTTTTTTAAATTTTTCTTTTTTTGAAGCCGCCCTCTCGAATTGGCCAGTGCCAATTGTCCTCGGCCCAATTTGTGAAATATCTGAAGTCGCAGTCAAAAATCACTTTGATTTTCTCTTTGGTTATTATATTATTTTATAATCTTCTCAATAATCATATTTTAAAGTCGTAGGTATTTTCTAAGTTTAAGGTAGTGTTGAGAGTTCTATAAATTTGACAAATATCAATCTTTTAGGTAACGGTCTAAATTCGCTGTAATGTTATGCTAAGCGGAATTTTGCAACCGAACTGATAAGTCTCCAAACCGCAAACACTGGACTATCTATGTCCTTATTCGAGAAGCCTAAGGATAGCACGAATTGCAGATCCCGTCCCGCGGGATCCCATGATGATGGTTCATATTCTACTGAGATTCGATCAAAGCCTTGTTAAATTAAAGGATGCGTCCTTTCTCAGTATTGCAGTCACGCATATCAAAAGACAATTTCATTTAGTTTCATTAGCGTCACCAGGGAACGGGTATCAATTCAGCAGCAATTACTTCACAACGGGGCTCTTAATAGCGACAACGTCAGCATCTGATCGAAGAGTTCGTCTGTTGGCATGCCAGTTACAAGTACATTTTCTTCAAATTCCTCAGTATTTCAAACGAATCTCAAATCTGGAAATAACCGGTTTCAACCTGTTCTGGTAGTGGCATGCATTAGGTATACCAGTTTCGTGCAGTGCGCGGTCCAAAACACTTTAAAATCTTATTCGTTTGATTTAAACAATTGATTTGCTAAATGAAAGAAGAACTGCGATCATTTCCAGCCAATTACTAGCAGTATCCTGTAAATGATAATGGCTCGTAAAGGAGAGTCGTTTTTTTTTCCATGAAAAGTTGGGCTTGCTTTGAATAGAATAACATGACATTAAGAATCGATCTATTCAGTATGATATAGCCAAAATACTCCTTATTTTATAAATAAATACAGATTACTTTATGTTACTTTCCTCTTAAATCTTACATGTAATATTTCCTGACGTTTCGACAAGAATTGATCTTGTTTAATTTTTAAACCCTAATTTGAGTATGATTAGCTTCCATAACTAAGCTTCGAACCGTTTTCGGATAATTGCTCTTTTGTTTTGAAGACGCATTTTCATAGAATCAACTGGTAAAGGTCTTCGGTATTGTTTTCGTTCAAGCAGATGCCGTTATAACGTTACACATACGATGTTTATGGCTTAATTAACACGGAATTTCCCCTCACTCGCTCCCTCCGGGCCATAAATGCCCTTTAGCAAGAAAGTACGACTTATCTGGAAAAGTTAAGTACCTCTGATCGATTGTTTTGATTTCTGGTCAGTTATCGCCTTTAAAACGCGATAAATATATGTAGATCGCGGACCGGATTAAGTCAAAAGGAGTGCAAAAAAATCTTTTAAACTTAAGAAGAAGCAAAAACAAAAACTAAACAAAACGATCGTTGAAGCAGAAGTTTTGTCTCTTAATCCAAAAGCTTCCGGAAAAATAAATTTGAGTAAAAGAAAACTAAGAAAATAGAATGAATGAAGACTGCGTAGAGTGAAGGAAATCGCAGCAGCCAAAACCACGGCTTTCGGATTTTTCCTATTAATATTTTAAAAATTTGTTTGGCCAAAACATCGTTGGATAGCTTTACTTTTCTCCCAGAGGTTGTTACTTGATTCACAGGAAATCTCTGCCATTGTGAAACGTTTGAATTAGTTTTTCCTATAGGAGCCGTATCCTGTTTTTCTCCATTGAACATTTCAATGCGATTGTATTTAAGCTTCCTCAGCCGGTATGTGCCATGTGGGAGTTAGCAAAACTGCTATTCAAATCTATTGTGCGAATTTCTTTGGTATATATATTACATGAGACCCGCCAGCTAGTTGCGTGAATTTTGAGAATCACGTTTGTTTTTTGTAACTGTCTTTTTGAAAAGTGCGAAAAATAGCAGAGATAAACAACGCCTGGATAAGCTTGATTTGGAGATTATCAAGGCTTAGCTTCGTACGTATTTTTAATAACTTCCTATCCTCATTGACAAGTGAACACCTCTCTTAATTTTATTCCTTAATTCAAAATATCTTTTCTAGTTATTATTTATGTCATTCAATTTTTAGTTTCCAATAATATCTAAAAGTGAGGCAGAGCGCGGAAATGAAATAGAAAAAAAGAACAAAAGACCGCCATGATGGTTTTTTAAAAATATGGCGTTCATGACGTCACATGATATCAAAACAAAAACAAATACAGGCAATTGACGTCACTGCTTGTTTATGTGGGGGATAGAATCGCCAAATCCAATAAAAAATTCAACAAAATTTGCTCCTAGCGAAACAGTTTAATCTAAAATGGCCTGGTTTTCAGATATATGTGTTAATATGTACTAAAAAATATTTGCTGCGTTTGCTGGCTATTCTTCTTCTCTTTGTGGATTGATACGGGTTTTAGGACCATTTTCGGTGAATTTGCGTTGATTTGACTCCGTCCGACGACCATGATCCTTTGCGTTGTGACGTCATAGTGAAATAGGGCAATTCTTCCCCCCACTTGCTTGCCACAGATAGTTTGATTCCAAATTAAAYATAATATAACTAAAACCAAATTTAAATTAATTTTAAACCAATTTCGGCTTTTTAGCTTAAGATTTTCACAAGACAATTTCCAAGAATTGGAAGAAGGCCACATCAAGGTTCGTGAGTTAGGGGGTGTGGAATGTAGCTTTTATGCAAATAAGGAAAAACGACCAGCTACGTGATTGGTTAAAGAAAGCGCTCAGTAATTCATTAATTGCATTTGATTGATTGCAATGTAGCAAACTTCTTTATGCCACGAAAGACTGAGCTAGGCTGGTGATCTCATCCGAAATATTTTTACCTGACAGTTATTAAAAATATTATGTTATGGCACATTTAATCGGATGTTTTTGTCAACGATTACGCTTCATTGGTTCAAGCAGACACTCGGTCTAAATAGCATTAACAGTTCATCTTCATGATAGTAATGGCAAGTAGCATTAGATTTCTGATTGAGAAGGATCTTTCTTTGTGGAGTTTTTCCGTTCCGATAGATAAACATGACAAAAAACTTCCGTTACGAGAAGAGAATGGAACTATAGTTCAATATTTAAGTTCATTTTTTTTGTATACGTCTACACATACATATTACTACTTTTGAATTATTTGTCCATATAATATTTTATTATTAATTATTAGCTAGCATAATTTTTAACTTATTTACTTAATTTATTCTGTAAGTGTCCCCGATTAGTGCGCTACTTGTGGCATGCTAGAAGTTTGACACATTAATAAAGTTTATGTTTGTGTGTGTGCGTGTGTGTGTATGTATGTGTGTGTGTGTGTGTGTGTATGTATATAGCTAGGTGGGTAGGTAGGTAGGTAGGTAGGTAAGTAGGTAGGTAGGTAGGTAGGTAGGTAGGTAGGTAGGTAGGTAGGTAGGTAGGTGTGCATGTATGTGGAAAAGAAACAGAAAAGGAGAGAAAGCGAAAAAAATAAACTGCTGGGAAAGAAGGACTGAACGCAGAGAAAGAAAAAAAATGAAAAAATGAAAAAATAAAAGATAGAAGGGAATAAAAAAAAAAAAGAAAGAAGAAAAAATTGATTTGACATGATTTGAAGGGCGGATTACAGGGGGTGAATTTGGTTGTCCCCTTTTGAGTTGAAAATAATAACAGGGCGCTATATGATGCCTTTCTAAGTAACTGCCGTTCTCCTTGAAACCGGCCGTTCTAGATTCGCCACTGGGTTTACTATAAGATACTCATGCATATGACGTTGCTTTTTTCACAGATATTAGTATCACCATGGAAACTAAAGTGATAGTCATGTTAATTGGTTTAGCCTGTCTGTGCACAGCCTCGCCCTCCACTCCACAAGAATATGACAAGGGGCTTAGCGAACAGCAATCGATTAGTAAACCACTGGACGAACGATCATCGATATCTAGATTTGCACAGAAATGTCCACCTGGTCTGTGGTGTGGAAAAAAGCGAGGACTGAACAAGAGGACTAAAGACAGACTCTCCATGACGAAGTTTGCCGGTCATGATTGTCCCCCCGGAATTTGGTGCGGCAAAAAACGACAAGTGAATTTGAAGGCATTTGAAACACCACAGCATCAAGCACAAAACGTACAAACTGTTAACCCACAAGCTGAAGAAATCAACCCCAATAAAGCCAACAAAGTTTTCCCAGAAAATCTCAAGCAAGGCCCAATAGATGAGAAGCTTTTCCGCCGTATTGAAGATGACTGTCCCCCCGGATTGTGGTGCGGCAAGAAACGAAGTGCACCTAGTAAATTAGCAGATCGTTCTTCTACTAACTGTCCCCCCGGATTATGGTGCGGTAAATAAAACGTACGTCCAACAATCTCCAAGAATGATCAAGATAACTAGCTTAAAGCCTTTCTGAGAAATATATCTCCATTTGAAATTCATTAATAAAAAAAAGAAGAGGTTAAGTAATTGAAGGTGGACTCGTTTGAAGCTCTTCCATATTTTTAGATTAAAAGACTTAGCGGTATTAAAGATAACTGAGATATATAAAGTTGCAATTAATGTTGAAGTATATTAAAAACTCCGAAATTAAGTGAAGAACTAAATAGTTTTTCGAAATTGCAGAGGTCACTTGAGAGCAGAATATTTGTGGATTTGACTGTGAAACGTTTCTAGGCGGAGAAAACAATAAAATTAATGAGAGATCAATTTGACTGGAGTATTATTTGTATTTTGTGACCACGTAATTTTCCTGGGATTTTTCGAGAACCACGCGTTTCTCCATCCACTCCTACGCAATTTCCATCTGCGCATGGCTTTATGAGACTAAAATGCATTAAGATTCCTTACGCACAACAACAGTGGCGTAACCAGGGATCTTGCAGGGGAGGTGCACAGGCAATGATTTGCAGAACCCAAACAAACAAAAAACAAAAACAAATACAAAAAAAAAAAAAGAGAAGGAAATAATGGGTGAATGATTCTTAAAAAACTCTACAATATGCAGATGGAAAGTGGTCTTCATTTAATCAAAAAACATTTACATGCAATTTTAAAGCAGAAGGAGATAGATGAGCGGACCTTAAGCTTTTACGGGGGGATGCAGGTGTACCCTGTGCTCCCCCCTGGTTACGGCCCTGAACACTACGGCAAAAAGGCGCGCACACCGCAGGGGCGGCGGAAGCTGAAATATTTTGGGGGGGCACTCCAATATTTCACGGTACCTTGAAATGACCCCCCCCCTTCCTGTTTAGCTTGATTACAAACGTGTATGTGTGATATTTCAATCAGTAACATTTTGCGCGCATTAAACCACTTGCAATTGTGCTGAGAGACACAAAAATGATGCAAGTCGTCGCTAGATATATCGTATATTTTTTAGATACAGAAAATTATGTAATATCAAAATAATAAATAATGGTAATCATAACCAAATCTCATGCGTTTTTTTTTTGTGTGTGTGAGGCATTATATTTTGGGGGGCCAGGCCCCCCAAAAAAATCTAGTGGGGGGGGGGGGGGGGGGCCCCCCCGCCCCCCCCCTTCCCCCCCCCCCCCACCATAGGAAGAGAGCTGGGAGTTAAAAATCTCTAGAAGTCAACCAAGGCCGTTGAAGTCAGGAGGAAGTTTTGAAGGAAATGAAACGAAATGA